CATATGTGACCACATACCAAATGAATAAATGTGTTCCCAAAATTCAATAGCGAGAAAAAAATCACAAATAAAAACTGGAAAAGTTCTTGGAAATTTAATTATAAAATCTAACAAAAATGGCAGCAACGTCAACGATCAAGAAGTTCACATTTGCATTTGATGTTATTTGCGCGGTGAGTTGTATTACTTATTACATATTTTAAATATTTAATAGTTCTATAAAATTGTATATTAATAACCATTTGAATTTATACTTTGTTTTTGAAATATTTATGGTTTCACAGAAATAACAAGAGAGTCAGGAAATCAGCACACAAATTCTAAAATTAACAAAAAAAAATCAAAAAGGGAAGATGAAAAATTAAAAAAAAAAATATTTTTTGTGATATTTAGTGAGCACTTGATATCTCTTTTAGTTGTGCCTAGTTTGTTCCTAGTCAGACTTATATGGATACAATGCCATAATGATAATGCAGGAAATTGCATTGAGTTGGCTAGGAAAGATACCCTAGTGGAAAAAGGTAGTGGGGTACCTTTGATTAACTGATATTTTGGACGAGGATTGACCGAAGAATCATATTCGACTCAATCCTGCTTGAAAAGTTGAATTAAATTTAAGTTATAAGTCACATGAAATCTAAAAATATGGATGCCAAACGAACGAGATTAAAAAAAAATCCAAAACACTTTTTAAGAGGGTTTTAAGAGGGTTAAGAGGCCACCTGTCTCAAAAGTTGAATCTCATTTTAAGAATAAGTTACATACATGGACGTCAATAGAAAGAAATATAAAACATCTTTGTTTCGAAGTTATTTTACATGCTTTATTTTGAAAACACTACTTAAAGAGTTGCCACCTGTTTCCAAGTCTTTAAAATTGAATCAGTTTGATTAATAAAGGTCAATCGGAACAGGTTTAAAAAGCTTTTTTCCGAAAATATTTTGAAAAGGGTTGCCACCTTTTTCAAAAGGGATTCAAATTAATGAAATATTGCAATATAGATGTCAAACGAAAGATGCTTAAGAAAGCAGTTTAGAAGCAATGTGCCACCTGTTTCGAAAAATTAAATTGAATATAAGGCGCCTTACGTCTTTACAGCACAGATTGTCCCCAGCTTTCCAAAGCAAATATTTTTGGTATCTGCTTTTTACTAGACAAATTTTTAAAAAGAAATTAACACCTGCGGTGACGAGAATATAAATAGGGAAAAGGCATTTTAGGAATTTTCGGTTACTTTTCTTTGTTTAAAAAATATCTATTATTTTTTAGGAAAATATAGCTTAAAAAACCTGTAAATGAAAATTTCAAACTTTGTAGAACATTTATAAAACTTCGAGGAATTACAACAAATGTTGATCAAAAATTTCAATTTTTTGTTCGCGCATTTTTGTTCCATTCAGTTATGTTCGACAATTCCACTACACTAAAATTTAATGAGCTACAACACTGCATACTCAGAATGTTTCTGAGAAATCTAATTAAAAAACTAACAATTTTGATGAAAACCCGCGTTTAGAAAGACGGCTTTACCAGTTGCTTGAAGGGTAATCGTAATTGCAGTAAAACAAATTAACTGCGCATTAAAAAAAAAAATTGTTCTTTATGTATCTCAAATTTGTATGCAAACATCTTTCACTTGTGTGCTTAACTGAACAATCCAGATTGATTTGCTCAAAATGTGAACCAGTAATTTTACAATGTAAATTGATTTTTGCAAATACTACGACAATCTGTCAATGGAGTCAGTGACCATCAGTGAGCAAGGACCCTTCAAGGTTATATTTAAAATACATTTTTAATGCCCATTGTATGTATGTATGTATGTGGATACGAGCAGTATACATACAAATAATATAAAAAGGTATTATGTACGGAAAAATTATACATTTGTGCTTACATACTGATATCTGCTGGATTTTTAAAGTGGGACGTACCAATTACTGAAAAGCTAGCTTTCCAAAATGAGTAATGAAGTCAATAAATCATTTCGATGATACAAACATAACAGGGCACGATGGCCGAAATTGGATTTTTTTTTGGCAAAAATGCAAAATTTTTATAGCAACATATTCTTGATATCAGTTATTTTTATAATAGTACATATGTCAACTAAGAAAATTTCCAAATAGTTTTCATAATCATGTGTATGATTGCCAGAATTTGTGCAAAATTATAAGTCAATTGTGATGAGCTTGTGAAAGGTTGCGTTAATATAAATAAAGAAAATTAGATATGGAAAATAAAAGTCAAGGTATTTCTAATAAGAATTGGTTAATGTGCATATTGTGTGTGTTTGCTTGTTGTTATTTAATCTGTTTAAAAATTTATAAGATCCGACCCGTTCGTTGGATTACAGAAAATGAGGTGTCAAATGAATGTGCTTGGCCTATAGATGTCCTATAATGTATTATTTTTTTTTTTAGTAGGGCTGCCACCAATTTAAAGATTATTATATCTTCACAGTTAGTTGGACTAAAACTGAGATACAAAGTGAAATGATACGGTCTCGGGATGTGCACTAAGCTTTTATTTTTTTTAGTGGGGTTGCCACCTTTCTAAAAATTACTACCTTACGTATAGCATTTTTTTAATGAAATCAGTTCATCCAATTAAAAAAAATGAGGTGTCAAGAGTTTAGGCTATAGATGTGCAATAAATTTTTATTTTTTCGTAAGGGTTGCCACATGTTTGAAAAGTCGAAACGAAAGAGTGCTAAGAAATTGTTAGTTTGAATATTTAAGCTATTTTTGAGGTGCTTGAAGGAGATTGGTTTCAATCGAAATACTACGTTTGAAAGGCTTTATGCAGAACTATATACAGGGCCGGTTACTCAATGTCTGGTTAACACTAATCTCCGGTTAAACATAGTTATCGACGTTACCGACTCCCTGTTATATGCATGGAGTCGAAGTCGTCGATAACGATGTTTAACCGCCGATTAGTGTTAACCAGACATTGAGTAACCGGCCCTTAGTTGGGTTGCCACATGCTTTTAAGTTATTGAAATATGTATCATAATATGGGGGCCAGACAAAAGGGGTTTAAGCAATTTTTAAAAAAGTTTTGAATCGTTCAAAAGCAAGGTTTTATATATGGGGAGAGGGGAAGGCGTGGCGTACAGGTTATCTGATCGGCCCAAAAGTTTTACCATAACTTGCTAATAGCATGAAAAACATATGTACCAAGTTTGAAAATGATAACTATCTTTTTAGAATTAATGCCAAAAAAAATTAAATTCCGTCCAGTGTGTAAGGTAAAGGCGCATTCATCGTTTTAGTTCAGAACTTTTCTTCCATGGGGTTGTTGTTGTTGCGTTTCATGATCATCTCGAAGAATCCCGTTGTAGTATTTTTGTAGCGTTGCTATCTCTCAGCTGGCAGTTTTGACGAAATGAATAAATATACTTACGTGCATACATACATACCTACATATGTGCAAACCTACATGCCTATATACATAAATAAATATGTATGTGCAAAGATAATGTGAATCATCACTTTCACTCTGGCGTTTTGTTTGTAAAAAAGAAGCAACATAAAACTAAAAAAAATTTTTATATATACATATGTACATATCGTCAACAGAAATGCAAAAAGGCGTAACAACATCGTAGATGAAATGGAAAAAGACGTGAGTAATATTTTAATTTTGTTTTTTCATAAAATGATGTGGGGAATTGCAATTTGATAAAATCCTTCATATAAATCAAAAAGTGAATTTCGAATTTTTGTATTAGTTATGACATTTTGCATTACAACGATGATGTTCTTTACGTCTTTTTGCTTTTCAGGTGAAGATATGTACTTAAATATTTAAATCTTTCTATACTTTTTTGAATCGATAACAATAATTACGTATGTATGTATATTTGAAGACAATTTATACATAAAATATATATAAGGTGATATCTATGTAGATATATAAAACGCGTTCGCCCGATTTTCAAACATGCGATGTCAAATTAAAGCGCTTGGTCTAGTTTTTGTTTTTCGAAAAGAGTTGCCACCTGTTGAACAATCAAACTCAAATTATTAAAAAAAAGAACTAAAAATAGAAACAAAGTTTTGCCCGTAGTCATAATTTGATTGACATGGAATTTTCTATATAGTTATATATGTATGTATATGTTTATCTTTGGTTTCTAGTACAAATTTGTTTCTTTCTAGCACTTCTACGGCACGCGTTCGTGGATAACCCCGCTCATTATATGTATATTTATTTAAAAAAAGTCATATGCCTAATGCTCACATTTTGTAGTCATCACTAAGCATTCGCAATCAGTTGTCTTCTTTTCCTGTGTGATATTTTTAAACATATTCCCAGCAAAAACTCTGGAATCACTTCTTGTGATAGCGTGTATACCTAAGAAACGAATGCGGAATCGAAAGAAATTGATAAACGCTAACAGTTTCGTCTCCAGAAGGAATTGTGGACTACCGCTGAATCCATCGTAATCCGATTTTAGTGAAATCTATGAAAATGCGATTATTACTGGATGCCAATTGCTACGAACGTATGCATTCTAAGCAGTGATGGAAAAGTGTGTACAATTGTACTTTTTTCATACATTACATTAATACATTCTTCTCGAAAATTTTTTCCAGTATGAACAGAACTTAACGTAGTATTAAAGAAGGTTAATCCCAAAATCAGGCATGGAAGATTCCCGCCATATTTTAGTACTGTTAAAAAGATGTAATGTGATGTGAAATGTGTAACAAAGATACATACTAGTTGTTTAGGTACATTCTTCAGCTTTTAGGTACAATTTTTTTCTCAAATTTTGTTACAATTTGAAGATTTGATTTTCCATCCCTGACTGGAAAGTATATGCTACGTTTGTAGCTATTCGGCTTTAGTTATGGCACTTTCGTATGTTTCACAAAAAATCGGACTACGATGGATTCAGTGAGAGCCCTGGGCATGTCTACGTAATACCTTCAACCACACTAACTCGCATGGGCGATTCCACATTTTTTTTTGGGCTGGAAATGTATTCTAGAAGGTATTACTTTATAATGCATAGACTGCATTTCGCTTCTTTAACCCATTACCAGGAATGTGAAGTCGACTGCAAGCCATTACCGCCAATGACATGGCCATATAAAAGTCATGCCTTCTAGAAGCGAAACGGGCACCGCTTCTCTAAGTCCACATTTATTTCCGAGGTAAT